GGAGGTAACAATGCACTAGCTAGTCTGTCAGATTATTTTAGAAGAACAAATCATAACGATACAGAGTCGATATTTTACCCGGTGCAATGTCCAAGTCAGTTACACTTAGGATATTTCTATTGCCTATTGGTTAGAAACTTTGGACAACATGTTTTTGTTGTCTGTTGTTGCATTTCAACATGAAGCTGTTGGCGCACAATTGGGTCCTTATTATTGCATAAGCAGAGATGTTGACTAGGCAGTTGGCCCAGGACACATGGTGTAGTCACTACTAAAATAACATGGCCGAGTGCAGCCCAAATAATCGTCTGAATATGATCTGCGGATTGGATCTCTATACTATCGCAATGTGACTTGAGTCCATTGACACAATAGAGCTGACAACATGTCATCAGATAACCCAAGCACTTTAATACAAGATATACACAGGGCAATTCATTGCTTTCTTTGGGTTGAGTTTGTTTTTCTAGCCAATGCAGAAGACATTGAAATGAAATCGATACATTTTATAAATAAACAAATTATGAACACTCACACAATATGGGCACTATTTTAAAATACCACCAAGGCTTACTCCTTAAAAAGAAGGAAATAACAATAGACAAGAGGGCATTAAAGGTTGTTTTTCTGTGCCTTTCATCTGTCTGGATGCCAGTGGTTTTGTCCGGGCATTGAGCACTCTTGGTGTGTGGAGCTCTGGCTGACTAGAGGAGCTATTTGGCCATATGCATAAATCGACAAACATTTCCACAGCCGCACTGACTAATCAAGGCCAGTAATTGCTCAAATGAGTGAAAACATGGCTGGGCTGGGCCATTGCCTGGAGGAGATTGTTACTCTACACCACTGGTTGTGCGTACCTCTGACCTCAGCTCCTAATCACCAATTAGCATGCAGCCTTTTCTGCATATTGACGTAAGGTAAAGGATTTCAGCTGAAAAGGGCTGCAAACACCAAACGACAACATCAATGGAATCCCAGGTTGCGTGTCTGCTCCAGAGGACATCGTTTGCTTCTAAATGCTAATTTACACAAATCTTTTGATGCGAGCCAGTGTGCTGGCTGAGGGCAGTTGTGCAGGGAGTTGCCTTGGATTTGTAGCTCTCCCTTGTCACAACAATATATTTTTACAACAGAGCTGCTGACATGATTCATGAGCCAGAGGACTTGATATGGTGTTGGTGTGCAGGCCAGATGAAATCCCCTCAGTCCACTAATATAGGTTTCTGTGTTGGGGGGTGCTTTACAAGATACTGTAGCTAAGGAGCCATTTCACACTGCTGAGCTAAAATAGGTCTTACTGTAGCTAATTCAACCTAGTCCACCCCTCCCCTACCCTTGTTACTGGACACAGTACACACATAATTCTACACACATGCTCAATAAACACATACACATTCATTTTCTCTCTCTCTCTCTTTTCCTTCCTGTCCTTCATAACTACCTACAGTGGCTCTCCCTATCTCCTTCCACTCCCCCCCCCCCTCTTTTCCAAGTACCTCTCTTTCCGCTCCTTCTCCTTCATTAAAATGGACTTCCTAAAGCCTCCATTCGTCTTGCTGACAGCTCCACTATCGATCGGGCTGGAGAAGGGGATGCAGTTCCAGAGCTTTAAATGGCTCTTTGACCAGCCTGGATGGGGGCTGGACTGAGGATGGAGAGGAGGAGGAGAATGAGGGAGCGCATGTTTTAGACTGGAGTTTTGACCTGAGTCTTTACTCCGATGCATATTTGGTTCATAACACCTAAATTGCTTGGGATCTGAATTTACATTAAAAGGACTCACCAACACTGTCATAGTGATTCGGCTGATGAGATCAGATAAGGCACTAATCACACAGGTTGAAAGCCAACACATTAGCCGTCCTCTTCAGACTACTTGGAGACTTTCCTGGAAGTCAGTCAACTATGGGTCCATTTAAAAGCCTGAAGTGGAGGTGGGAGTGTTTCATTTGTGGACAATGAATCGCAATCGGCTTCAATCAAAGCAATGTGAACTAACGTTCCGCTGGCTGACGCCTTTAATCGGGCTCTGTCCCTTATCGCCAGCCATTATCTAGGGAAGATGAGTTGGCACATTCTGTCCTCATCCCTCCCGCCGCTTGACATCAAACCCCTCTGACAAGATTAATGATCGGATTTTAGATTTTCCTAATGATTAAAATCTCAACGGCGTACTCTGTGTTCTGTGGTGCAGTGGAAACCCCAAGGAGCCTGTTGGTCTCCCGCCTCCCTCTGATGAGCACTACCTACGTGTCTGTGGTTGTCATCTATAATCATATAGTGCTCCACAGCAGCACATCAGAAAGCCAAGGAGCCTCCTGTGACCATGTCACTGTGTATTTGTTATCTAATTTGTCCCTCTGTATTGCCCTTGATTGGAGCCGCATGGGAGGAAAAGACGGACAAGGTGTAATATTCAAGATATATTACTCAACATCCCAACTGTGAGTAGTTCAATTCACACAAGGCACTGCCGTCTTTAGATAAAGGTATTGTTAGAGTAGCATTAGCAGAGCGGCTTGGGATTCATGTGTATTGACACTTTGATCAGTATTATGTAGAAGTCCATACTGCGTTCAGCTTTGTGGAGACAATTTAAAAATCCAAGCCCGTAATAGCAAAGGATCCTTTACCATTGGATTGTGTCTGCTCTTTGTAAAGGCCAATCTGCCACACAACATGGTGACATGGTCTGAGACTTTGTCAAATGGAGAAATGATCAGACAAACAGGGATAGAAACAAGAAGAAAAGATGAACAGAGGGAAAAAAAGGAGGTGTTGGGAAGCAGGGAGCAGGAAGAGAAGTAAAGAAAGGAAGCTGAGATGATGGGAGAGGGCGGAGGGAAGGATAAATGGAGCATGGGCAACTGAGGAAGGAGAGAGGGAGGAGGTAGCAGAGAGGCAGAGAGCAGTAGTCGATATAACGGCAGTCATTCATCTCTCTGACAGCCTTCCAAATGCTCCACTGGGGAGACACAAAGCTGCGTCACCCCGAATGCAGCAAATGCAGAGCACACACACATGTTTGCATATACAGTATGTGCATACACACACAGAGGAAATACACGTTTATGAACACTGCTTTTGCTGTGCCTGCACACACAGAGCGCGATGTTCTGGGTCAACGCACGGTATGTTGCAGGACATGGTCAGTCAGTACATACACCATTACACTGCAACCTGTACAAGCACAAATCTTCAGTCGTCAGTTAGACATTAACACACGCTCACATATGCATTTTCTGACTCACAAGCCTATCTGCTGTTTCTTTTTTGTAAAACCAATGTGCACATGTGCTGCAACAGTCAACTCAAGAACAGTAAATCTCAAGGGCAGTTGAGGCAAACCTCTGAGGTGGAAAACCATCTCAAATTTTACTCTCACTTTACAATCCTACATTCTTTAGAGACATGTGCTTAATATTGCTTCGCTAACACTGGAAAACAGGTACATGAACACAAAATGACACATTCCCATGACATTGGAATATGGAAACACGGATGTGCTCCGATTAACACACACACACACACACACACACACACACACACACACACACACACACACACACACACACACACACACACACACACACACACACCATTGGCTGGTGCCTGCCGTCCATCTCTCATGATTCATGGCTAAGCGAGCTGCTGTGGAGCAGTTCTAAACCACTGGACCGAGGAGAGCCTGTGTGTCATTAAGGCACAGCGGGCTGGACATGCTGTTAGAGCCGCTGCACCGCTGCACCACGGACAGCTCTGCGCCTCAGTGGCACACCAGGAGGTGGGGAAGCAGGTATTTCTGTGTAGGTCTCATTGTGGTTTTACTAGAGAAGTAATATCAACAGCTGAGTGCACTTATATACTACATTGCCCTGTGAAGTGTGCACTGTTAGTAAGAGAAGTGTTGCCTTTTATTTAGTCGGACACCGTTCTACCCCTACCTAGCATCTGAGCTAAATTAGCCCCTGTAATCATCCCCAAATCCACCTTCTTAACCAGAAAATCAGTTGAGGCTGGCTAAAGGAAGGAGACAGGGTTGCCAAGTTCCCTCCTCTGCCATCCTCTATTAGCGTGGGCCCCAAGAAAGACGTTGGAGGCACACGTCCATACATCCATGGTCCATACCCTAATGACTCCTTAATGATCCCCTCCTCTGCGAGAGTGCTGACAAACACTGACAAACCCTGACCCTGACAAGAGAAACACCCACACTTAGCCCTCTTCCTCACCCCTTAGATAGAGGCTCATTTCTCAGCCCTCCGCTTCATTATACCGACTAGGGTCCAGCAGAATGTATACAGCCCCTAACTAGAGGCAAGATAAACACTCATGATGAAATAGTCAGTGTCACTTTCAGAGTGAGGGGCAAAGTTTGAGTAAATTCCTTTCGGCAGATGGAGGGAGGAGGAAAGAAAGCATAGATAAACAAAGCCGGAGTTAAAAAGGAGAATGGCGGTAGGAGAGAGTAAAAACTGTTGAGGCTATGGAAAAAAAGATTGTTTGTATTCTTTTTCCTTTTCCCTGATCGTGATTTCCATTTCAACTTGGGGTTGGGGGAGTCAGCGGCGGAGCCTCTTTTAAACATCACACAAGACATAATTACAGAGTGCACCACTGCCAGCCCGCCTCAGTTTCTCCTAAATACTCACACCCCAAAATTAGGGGTTACCTCCTTCTACTTGAACCTACTATTTAAGATGAGAACGTCACAGACAAACTGAGGGGAAGGGAAAAGGGAGTTTGGAAAGGAAAGACATAGTTTAACAGCTTTGTTTCACAATGACAGAGAAGGCCTTTGTTAAAGATGGTTGCTGGCAGGCCTTGGATAACGCCAGGTGTGGAAACTGGGACAAAAACAAAAGTTGGAAAAGGCACACGCAGCTAGAAAGACTAGGGAGTGTGTTTATGTTCTATCTGCAGTATATATGACAGCTGAAAGTCTGCTAAGGATATTTCCAAAAGGCAGCAAGCTTAAGAAAAACACTAGCTTCACGCTAGCCTATGACCTCACTGGTTTGGACTGCATGCAGCTTCCAGTCCCAGTCGTGGATGACGGAGCACTCACTCTTTGAGCCTTTCTCCAGCTCAGCCTTCTTTTCTGTTTTCTTTTTTTTCAGATTATTATCCTGGTCTGAATCAGGCGGATTTATTAGTGTCACAGAGTGGTCATTGCCTTTTTTTGCTGTGTTGTGCCATATAGAGCCACAACAGAGATTCTTTCATTATTAGAGGATGAAAAGAGAAACCATCGATGGTTCCTTTCCTGATATAACAAGACCCAGAGACTGTACTGCCTCTTGATTTATAGATAACTCTCATCTGGAATCTCTGTTTTGTGTCTCTCTCTGCTCCTTCATTACACACAGTGACAGAGCACTGTGCAGGCTGTAGTGGAGCAGTTGCTGAAGTGATGTTGTAAACCAGAGCTTTAAGTTACACTACCACCAAGTATCGACGGTCGTATAAGTAATATACCATACATTACACATACAGTAAGGTAATAGCTTAAATCAAGTTACAATGCAAGTATGCAACAAAAATATGAAATGGGTACTATGCTTGTTGGGGTTTTCCCTTCTCTGTAGTGTGTGATATAGGCTTTTGTGCATGTAAATGGTCTGAAAAGGCAAAAATCCCAAAGTTTCTCTCCCACACACTCCCCCCCCGCCTGAAACGCCTCCATTTGACTCATTTGTTTACTTCTGTAACAGTGACATCACTCTATAACACTTGCGCTGCTAGTGCAACAACACATTGTATGTTATGGGCTAAGGGTTGAAACATCTCTAAGCGATTGACACACAACAGAGCCAGCCAGCTAACCAATCAGAGCAGACAGGGCTCTGGTTTCAGACAGAGGGCGAAAAGAGGTGCTGCAGCACAGGCAGCATGTGAAGCATAAAGACATTTTTGTTAACATGTCATTGTAGAATCACAAAATTCTAACATGAACTCTGAAAATGAACATAATAAGGCCCCTTTAAAATAACACAGGCGGTAAATTAACAGTTTAGTCAGATTATCTAAAGACATTTTAAATTAAGTAAAACAAAAAAAGTAAGTGCACTATACTTGTAAGTTATGTTGGATGTTTAAAACTGACGGTTTGGGTAATTTTACTATTCAGTTTTATTTTCTCTTGCAGTGATACAACCACATTCCCAGATGAGGACAATGATAACCCAATGAAAAGGAATGACAGCCAAAACAACAAAGAACTACAGTTTCAATAAAACTAAATTTCTTTTAAAATTGGAAATCTTTCAGTAGACAAAACAACTAGAGCGACTACGGTCTGTTGCACACACCCAGACATGCTCACACATTTACAAATACACACACACGCACAAACTGTATCGAATGAATTTAAATGTGTCTGTTATCATCTTCCAAGCTTTTTTTTACCCACAAAACCTGAAGCTCTTAACCAACATCCCACGTCATATCAAAGCCATATGTTCCATCAGGCCCTTTTATCACATCAAACATATATGATTTCATTAAAGCTCAGGAAATTCTATGCAATTATAAATGTGGTTGAATTCACATATGGCATATTTTCCTTTATCACTTAGGATTAGAATCTATGCCACTTCTTCAGTCTCTTCACCTCACTGCTAGACTGAAGGCCGCACACTGGAAATCCAGACGGAATCAACATCCTGTCCCCGGCCTAGGAAGTGACCTCAGCTTCAGAAAGGCCAGATAAAACGTCCACATCAGAAACAAAAATATCAGGCTGGACGTAATGAGCTTTCCACCAGGCTCCAGTTTGTTCTGAGGGAGACCAGGTGGTGTGACACACATATGACTCTGATTAGGGGGCCTTCAGAGGAACAAGGGCCGGGGGGGTTGTAGGGTGGGCCATGCAGGGCCAATCAGGACGTTTTCTATACTGTATGATGCAACTATTAAAGGTGCTCAATGACCTCCGCAGGCGCAGGGCCCTCATAAGTGGCCCATTTGCCATTTGTGTGTAAGCATGGGGTGCACTTTGCGTATTGTTTTCCTACATGTGTTCAGCCTGGGCCTCAGTGGCAGAAAGAGTGGTCCGATATGGATTACAGCAGCTGGATACTGATATACTGATACTATACTGCTAGGTCTTTAAACATCATTAGGAGGCGAGTCATACTAGTCTGTACATCGGATACGTAGAGGGCATATACACACTTGCACGCAGACAAAACATTTAATCAGACATTTAGCTGGCCAGTTACTGCTACATCCGATGATGTGTTCAAACGCTCACAGCAGACGTGCATGTGTCCTCTATGTTTCTGACCCATCTTTCTCTAACTACATTTACATGACAGCGGTTTTTGGCACTGCTGTCTGTATCTCATAATCATACGTCCGCCCTGTACATATCGTCAAACTGTGGGAGGGAGAAATGTCAAGGGGACCTCTGGCCTCATTCTTCAACTGTTAGTTTCACCCTGGTGCATTGTGCTGCCTTTGACTGGACTGTTTAAATGTCTCCTGATATCAGGGAACACAAACAAGCAGGACTGCCGGCCTGCTGTGGAGGATAAGGAATGAAGGGGAAACGAACGCCATTCTTCTCCTCGTTTGACGGGAATTGTGTTGGAACAAGCACCTGTCTCCCCCACAAACAATGACCACAGAGGTCGGGCAGAGAGAGAGACAGAGAGGGAGAAAGAAAGAAGTCTGAGACAGAGTGAGGAGAGAAAGAGGGCACCAGACAGTCAAGAAAAAGTGGATCAGTCCGTCTAAGTAATTCCCCTCCCTCTCCTTCATTTTCTTCTTTCCCTCCCACTCTTCTTCCTCTCTCTGCCCCACATTCAAACACATTAATCTGTGTAAATTGCATTCCAAAACAGGCGTATGTTACAAAGCCCCAGACTTACTGCTACACGGACCAGATAAACATCTGCATAATATCTGCATAAATGGTTTGCATTGATAACAAGGTGAAGCAGCTGCTAAGGCTATCCTGTTGGCCGTTCCTTCGTCTGCCTCACCCTCTCTCCTCCCCCCATCACCTTCATCTGTTCTCGGGACCAACTTGACACCCGTGTTTTTAAATAGACAAAGAGCAGCAGCATCTCTGTGTCCTTCAGACTCCTCCTTCAGATACCCTCTAAACATACAGAACAGAGAAATGCTGGGCATAGCACAATCCCACACCTACAACATGATAAGAGACTCAGAAAAAAACACTTTTTAACCTCAACTCATTGTCCTCTGCTATGACAGTCTGCCTGCTCTAACCATTTAAAAACTGCTTTCAAGTGTGTGCTATCTACCTCTCTGTCCTTCAGCTTCATGGCCAGAACCAGCTGGTTGCGATGGTTGGTCAGCGCTTCGCGGTAGTTTCCCTTGGAGAAGAATGCCGAGCCCAGATTGCCATGAGCGCGGCATTCCCCTGTTTGGTCACCTGAAGAGGGAAAACCAAAAGAGATGAAACCAAATAGCCAACAAAGCATTTTTACAGTACAGCCTACGAAATTAGAGAGCAACTGGTGTTTGTTTCACATATTCCCACTGCCACTGTTGAACGGTGATGTGATGAACCACATCTATGCCACTGACATGCCACTGCACCCTTAAAAGGGAAAGTGGCCGTTAAAAGTTCTCCACAGTAGAGCGGCTTCTCTGACAGCTGGTAGTGTTGATCTCAATGCTCCAGAGGGTGAGAGGGGAAAGCCTTATTATTTCTGCTTGACAGAGAGGCCCCACAGACAGGGCCAAAGTAAAGCGCAAGTCTCTGCGCTCCACCTGAGAACCACAGCTCCTTATCTCCAGCTGCTCTGCCCAGTCATGTGTCAAACTGTGTGGGGGTGAGAACAGTGGAGCCAGTCTGTGCTACTCTCTGTTGTTTTTTTACTCCTAAATTACCTTAAGCTTTATCCTCCTTAACTGTTATTCTCTCATACCTTATCTCCTGTACACCCACACAGCATCCCCATATATAGTTACGGTAGTAAGATCTATTATTAGGCCAAAAACGGGCCGATTCCTGCCAATTTGGATGCAAAGTTTAGTTAGCTCAGATTTTGGGAGCAGTGGACTCAAATGGAGAAAAATAGAAAAGGGCAAAATATGAACTCATTTTTTTTATTTCTTATCGCTTCACTTCGCTCTGTGATAGGATCAAATTCTGATCTGATGACAGTATCAGGATTAAAAGACAGGATTCATCCTGTTGAGAACAGCAATGTCTGTTAAAAATGACATTTTAAGCACACTGGTGTAAAGTGGTGGATTTGCTACTTTGAGTTTTATTTGTATTTTTTTAGATTTATTAGGCCAGATTATATTATTGGAGAGTGACAGTTATGGAAGGGGGAGATAGAGTGAATGATGCGCAAAAAGGGAAGAGGCCAGATTCTAACCAGTAGTAACCACTGAGCTTTACAGCGGCCAATGTGTTCTTTATCTCTGTACATTGCATACAATTAGATTTTTCTACTGTTGGATGAATCAAGTATCTTTAAGAGGGTAATTTTTGGCTCTGGGAATGTGTGTTCTGCACTTTTAAGAAAAAGAAAATCATCATTTGAAGCACTAATTTACATTTATAATCCTTATTTCCCAGTTCATGCCTCTTACCTAAGGTCTTGGCCACCTCCAGGTCCTGCTGCATGTAGCCAGTGCTCTTCTCTGTGTTGCCCAGGGACCAGTGGGCGCTGCTGAGGGCGGAGAAGACGGAGCCGCGGAGCTTGAGGCTGCATGTGCCGATCTTCAAAGCGGCTTCCAGCACCACAACAGAGGCTGTGTGGTGGCTCGCTGTCAGCAGCTCCTGGCCAATCACAGACACCACCACAAAGGGACTTTTGTCCAGCTTCATCTTTTGCAGCTGCTGATAGGTGGGCTCCAGAGACTCTGCACAGGAAGGACATGAGTAAGACGGATATGAGAAACAGGCCCCAGAAAATGTGAAAACATAACCTTGTTCTGATGTGGTGACTGACAACAATATCTGACTTTTACCGTAGTCACTGTGTTACATGTTTATCTGAATTCTACTCTTCTTGAGTCGTTGTTGTGTTTTGCCTGGATAAGCGTACGCTGGAGTTTGGCTGAGTGGCGGCTTTTACTGACAATTTGACATTGAAACAAGATATCAGGCATTTTCTGTTCCCTCCAATGGGGTAATCTGAGGCAATTTCCAACGACACTGTATAAAAATTGCACAAGTTTAGATCATTGTGGGCAACTGTCTTTAGAAACCACAAATTCCATTCCCTCTCTCCGTGACAGCTGATATGGTTGTTTGAGAGGAATACTGAGAGAGAGCTAAGTGGGTTTCGAGATCGAGTTTAAAGAGTGACGGGGAAACTAATGCAGCTAATGCTCAACAGTAGCAGCAGCAGAGGAATGCAGAGCAAAGGAGACACACAAGGTGACCTTTGAAGAGGCTGAAAATGCACACAATGACATAAATCAATGGTGGGCCACGCGGGATTTGAGATCCACAGCCCCTCCAGATTACAAAGCCCTCTGGCAGACACCAACATCGAACAACAGGAAGGGGGGCATGCCCAACTGTGTGCGAGTGTGTCTATTGATGCATTTGTGTGTCAGTTTATATTTGCATTCATGTACTGTAAAGTATAGGAGGGTATCTGGGGGATACTTAATTCTCATGGCCCTGTATTTGCAAATATTTTGAGCAGGATTGCTACTAATTAGGTCAAAGCTCTTAAGAGAAGATACATGGTGTAAAATGTGCCTGTACAAGCTTTGTGTGTAGTCTAAAAAGCAGCATAAGGCACAAGCTTTCATAAACCACATCTTTCATTTGTACAGAGAAACATTTAGGCAAAACAAGTGAATAACCACAATAGTTAATAGAAACACGCACAGACTCTAAATCACCTAGACACAGAAACACACACACAATATGAGATGCTTCCTCACACAAGCACTCCAAAGCATAACTGATGATGCTCTTTCAAGAGCAATGCTTCTCTTCCAGCACTTGGCAGAATGTCGTGCTTACGGAGTCAGTGCGTGCATATAATATCCATTCATAGCTTGTAATTGCCTTCATAGTGACACCGAGAGCCGAGTCATAAATCAAAACACTGGGAGAATCCTTTTTTTAAAAGGTGTCATGGCTGCTGCATTTATAAGCAGGTTGTTATGACAACATCGGCTCGTGCTGTTTCACAAACATAAACAGGCACGCACGCACACACATACACACACCGGACACACATGTCAAATGCTAAAGTGTTTACTGTATCAGGATATGAAGCAAGAATTACAACTTCACCTCATTGATATGCATACTGCTAACAGAAAGTCATAACAGAGTGTTTTAAGCCTCATCTTTCTCCTCTTGCCTCTTTTCAGAGAGGCTTTTAAGCTTATGCTTTTGCAACCAGGACCACACCTCATTGTAATGACAGTATTCTCATATACGAAAATACCTGCAATATGTCAAAGAGTTTAAATCTCATGTAAATAAAAACACATTTGATGCACTTGCTCTTCTGTACTTGCTAATGTTCCAGAAACTACACTGAAAACGGGGATTGATAGCTTCCTAAAAAAGTTGGACTATGAGGTTTTTAGTAAGTGACTTAGCCTTGTCTTCATAAATTGCAATGGCCATTTTGATAGAAAATATAAACAGTGCAAATGTGTGGACAACATATATGGATGTATTTGTTTATAGTATTGGACTATGGAGCTTTATGGTACATGTCTTATTAGGTTTTGGCTACACAGACTCTGTAGAATCAATTCATTTCACGTTTTGGTATTTTTATTGGATCTGATGACCATTAAATAAATATGAGACATTATCCCCCTTATCCATAAGTAATAATGTCATAATTAAATGATCCATCAAATTCTCCCCTTTCATGTCGTCTCCAGGGGGGTTAAGTGTCGGAGAAAGTTAAATAACGGCCCCTCTTGTGCTTATGTTTTAATAATCAAAAGCACTTTTGCTCAAAGGCTTCTCAGTAGGACAGATGCTAATGAACACAGGCACCAAATCCTCCAGTTTAAGGACAATGTTTTTAATGGGAAATGATCCAGCCAGGATCAATAACTGCCACGCTGGGAACCATCTCCTCTATGGTTTATCTGTAGGGATCTTTGAAAGAAAGAAAACCTTTTCAGTAAGCACATGTGGAAAACAATCCGATAATTAACGGCTAATGGACCCTTTGCCTTCTTTTTGGCCCAAAGCAGCTAAATGAGAGACAGAACTAGAGCAGGATGAATGGTAAAACTATCGCCCATGTGATACCATGCATAATGAAACAAAGATTCCAATATATAAAACTGTGAGACGCTGATTTCCCACAGCTCATCCAATGATCCAGATGGACAATGCTAACAAATTGGGGATAATATCGCTGCAGGGGATTTGTGGAGGTGGCAGTCAGGGAGACAGATACAGTACAGTAAGAAAAGACTGCAGCAGTTTCCACCAGTGTGAGAGCCCCTTTGTTATGGGAGGTACAGTTTGAATCGCATGAGAGCACAACACCTGCTTGACTCTAAAATAATGAGAAGAAACCTTCATCTATGCAATCAGGAGTGGCAGTGTGTGTCTGGGTTGAATTGTATATGACACTCTAAGAATTGGGGCATTATACATATAATATTAACCTTACTGTCGAAAAAAGGCAAGCTTTGATTAATTGTTTCACACTGTGTCCTTGAAGAAATATGCCTTGATAAAGTTCTCTGAGGTTTATTATTTGTCCTTCAGATTTATTTTTTCGCTCATTTGGTACGTCTGTCTTCAAATGCATCCCTTTGCTCTGTGGCAGAAAAATAAACATAAAGGTGCTCTTCGAGGGAGTGTAAACATCACAATGTGTGGAGATGTTTTTCGGTAAGATAAATGACAGAGATAAGTGAACACTGCAATCACAGCTAGATACAATCAGTTCTTTCTTGGCAACATGGAGGCAACATTGAGTCTACACACATATGGGAATAATGTTGTGTTTGCAGAACTGCTATAAGAGATAAAAGTGTAATTACAAAATGGATTACACTTTTCTTTAAATGTAATTGCAATGTAGTTACAACCCATAACAAGAAGGTTAAAACCAGCCGAGTACAATGACTTTATGTAAATGGGCTTATAGCCATATTTTGGCTCAAGGTGTTAAAGGAAATCTCAGGCTCAGCCAATCAAGCTGAATTCTGGGATGAGTATGTGGTCGACAAACACTGGCAGGAACGTGGCACTCCTCCTCCTTTCAGGGAAGAAAGTAATGCTCGCCTACCTTTTACTTATCAGGGGACCTTGGCTGAGTAACACTGATTATCCCCCCTGTTTGCTGGCGTAACATTGATTATCGTCCCACTGTGCCAGGAGCCCCTGTGAGAGGATCATTGCTCTTAATCCTTTGACCTAGCTACCTCTCCTCGACACACCTTGGATTAGGTCCTCTGCTGGTTGCTTTGCACCGTGGGAAATAGGGTAAACAATTAAGAGATTAAATGGCTTGGGCTGAATGTTGGTGTTGCCCTACAGAGAGGACCCATTCTGGTCCATAATGCTCAGCTCTGGGCTTGCACCCAAACCCTTTTCTTGTTTTGGCTCCAGGTTCAGGATTATACACTCAATGCCGCTCAGATGGGCCCATTTTTTCTTTATTCTGTTTTCCTTCTGCATTTGCACAAGAATATTATTTTCAATCAAAGGGAAACAAATTCCTCACCAAACAAAGCCCTTCAGAGCTGCTCATCTCATTGTTCAGTTCAGCACATTTTGGATTATAAAACCAGGCATTTTTTCCCAGATGCAGTTTCAGCACAGTGGTGAAGAGGCGATGACAAAGCAAGACTGCAGGATGACTCGGTCTAATTTGGCAGCTGGTGCCATCCAGATCTGAAGAATATTACATTCTCTGCAGTGGTCATCTGAACCAAAATTGTTGCCAGGTTTATTTTGAGGCTCATTAGGCTGGCCCATACTGATTACTCATGGACAATCAGGTCACTGCAGTCGGCTGATACAACAGATATTAATGTTAAACAGAAAGAACGCATTTTAGTTACAGTCTTGGCTTGAATGCACTACTTACAAATCCACTCAGCTTGAGGAAAAAGGCTTATACAGGGGCACACGCAGACAATAGCATTAGTGTTGGATGCTCATTAAGATAACGGGCTATCTGTGAGTGTGATCACCCCCGTCTGACAATAACATGTGCGTCAGGCCTCAAATTCCAGAGGTAAGTACTTGACACTGACAGTCAGTCACAAAGACAGAAACACAGACAGATAGAGAGATGGCCTGTCTGCTGAAAGGGTAAAAAACCCTGACAGGTAAAGTCACCACAACAGGCTTATTGACTGACAGAGTGAGGATTATTTCAGAGACAGCAGAAAAAACAGGTGGAGATGGTGAAGCAGAGAGACAGTGACACCCAGACACACCGTAGATTTATCTAGAACTAGATAAAGCGTTGGAGGCGACGCCCTGTTCAATTCTATGAAAGTTGTTCAGTGGTGCCTAAAGCTAAATGGCCTGACTCTTGAATACAGAAATACCGGTATCTTCCCAAGACCTTCTTGCAATCTTCCGCATTCATTGGGCCAATAGGGATGCGCACTTTCATTTTCCTTTGGCCCCTTTTCCAATCCGCTCCCTCACGTCAGTATCATGTCTGGTCTCAGGTCATTCAATTGACTCTGGAACTGTGGTTTAAAGCTTTAAGCATATTTAACAACACGTAGGACCTAGTGATTGAAAGAAGGGCTATTCAAGTGTCTGACTCGGTATTTGGTTTACCTCAAACTAAAATAAACGCAGATTCTCCAGTCATTTCGAAAAATAATTTTAGGGCCCAATGGCACGGAAGTTGTAGTGTCATCGTTTGGCCACTATGAAAATGTGCTTCAATACCGAGCGCACTTCCTGGGGGCTTGAGACCATGGATGTTTAAAGAGAACTGGATAAAGCGCCTCCAATCTGCAGCTTCAAAGTAAATCTCGGGTAAATCAAAAGAATGGAGAGCGGAAATCTGGACTCTGGATTTGGCTTTAAGCACATCTTTTTATGACTTTAAGGATCTAACGATTACAATAAAAGGGAGGTACTCTACTTGGTAGTTGGTTAACCTAAAAAAATATATACTCAGTAAAAAACCCAGACATATTTTTAAGACAATTGATTGACACAGACGTTAATTAAATCAGTAACAACTCACCTCGTAACGGCGACTTCATGGCGGCTTCTATCATGCCCACCAGCAGCTGCAGGCTCTTGGGGTCTTGGGCCAGCCCGGAGGCGAAGGCGGCCAGTGCGTCGGCATGGCGACCAAGGTACTGAAGGGCAACACCCTGCCGGAAGTATGCCTGTAGAGAGAGAAAGGTAAGAGTCATCAGCCTCCTGTCTAGTGCCACAGCATGCAGCTTTATACAAACACATTACCAGACACACTCATTTCACGCCATTTGCATTTTCTCCACATGAGTACTTTTCTGAACATGGCACCTCTCTCCTTTGTATTCCATTAATAGAGCGATCACTGTTTTTTTGTATGTGTTAATTGGATTATATGTTTTTACATAAATGCAGATGTTGGCTGGCTGGCTGCCTTCTCTTTTGTTTTTCTCTTCGATTTTGTTCCTTTTCGCTGTGGGAGTAAAGTGCAAAGCAGTACAGAACTTGGTTTTGTCTTGGGCTGTGTGAGAAAAAAAGTAAAAAGAAAGAAAAGAAAAAGGAGATGAGAGAGAGCTACTTACTCAAGTCGTTTGTAGCTCAATAAAAACAACACCCATAAATTCTTCAGATTGTTCATTCCATTTGTAAAAGTTGTAAAATAATAACACAACTGGCCGGAGTCTGTTTTTGCCATATTATTTTTACATCAGATGTGTCATGTTTTGGAATGTGAAAAACTCTTCAAACAGACAGAAATTAACTACATTTGTCATCCAATCTGTTTTTCACAGAGCGGAAAGAGTCACATTGTTGTGAGTATAATAATTCAGCACAACTGAGATATAAACTGCACGCAAGTGCTGACATACTGTATCTTTCTGTGAGAGACTAAATTGTTTTGGAACATTCTTCAGATTGAAAACTAAAACAGACGCTGTCTCTGGGATCCAAAGCCCCATCAATAAGTGTGTTATTTTTCCTTTGGACTCGGCAGAGAAAATAGATGTTTTATCCAAGCAAGTTTGTGACTCATGTTTTTGTGTCTGAAGCCTGATCAGAAAATAATCTTAGTGACTTGTTAAACCGGAGTCTGGTCCAGTTTTTAAAAAGCAGCAAAGAGAAATGGAACAAGATCCAACTCATAACTCACGATCCAAACCACTAAATCCCCCCCAGAGACACCAGACTCTCTCAGAATAGTCGTATCTGGGTTTGTGTGTCAGAAAAGCCTGATTTCAGCAGCCGAGAATAAGGGAGAATAAAGGGCGAGAATGGTGTGTGGCAACAAAACAACAATATGTGTAACATTGAAACAAGTACCCTAACTTTTCAACTCAATGTTTTTTGTGTTTTTGCCGGTGTATAGCATGCAGTCCAGGCAGCTGTTTGGTCTACCTCTTCACTTAGCCGGCAGTCGCTCCACTCACAGTTCCAAAAGTGACACCAGGGCTAATTTGCTATTAGCATCTAAGAGGCCTTTTCATTAGTCTTCCCAAGCTTCTCTGTTAGCACAGCTCGGTAGTGAAAAAAGGCGGGGAGGATTAAAGAAAATGAGACATGACATTGAATTTATAGAGACCAGTAATTAATTTTTCTTCCGTCTGAGCCCCCAACTGACTACCAATCTCTCTCCAGACCTGCTGCCCCCCTCCTCATTTCTATCTCCCTTCCCTTGCATCACAACTCCATTGAAAATGACGAGGACAGAGATTAGATTCAAAGCATTAACCTTTGTTCTAACACTGTTATTATATGAGGGGAGAGCAGGCCAGGGTATCCGCTCAATATTAATTGCATCTAGTGGCAGTGGAGTTTGGGCAGGACGCACTGGCTGGAGTAGGGAGCCCACGAACGTTTTGCCTGAGGGAACAAAAGACATTTAAAAGCACTTCTCCCTTTGATTAGATTTAGCCTACAATATGACTGCTCACCCAGTGATCTTTTTTTATTCTTTTGAACAGTGTGCCCTGACTGAGAACACAAAGAGGAAAAGAGAGGACAAAAATAAAAATAAGGCTCGCTTCCAACAAAAATGCCATCTCCTTTAATCCCTTTATTTTACCCTATATGCTGTCTTACATAAGGCCAAAAGAATAGACTGTGTGGAGAGTGCATTCATCAAATACTGCAAACACAAGCACAAGAATAAATGCATAAAAGAAAGAGGCACGGCAGAAATGACAGAATCAATGTGCCGTATAGCCTTATAGGATTCTTTTTCTTCCATTAATCTCTTAGAGCCTTCAACACACATCATGTAGCTTCACAAAGCCATACACACTTAATCCAACAAGTTAATTCAACCAATGATTCCTATAAAACAGTGGGCTCAGTGGAATTAACATTATAGATGAATGCTAGCATAAGGAAGCACCAAATATGCAGATTTGCAGATATAACAACCAAAATGTTTGCTATGGTGTTGGCATAGAGAGTAGAGAGCAAGATTGTACCCCTACACAACCTATTTTCTAAATTCAAACTTAACAGGATCTTTTCTAAAAACACAGTAGCATTTGCTTGGAGCTGCTGCTTCAGTGATTAGCATAGCCTCCCTTAGCTATGCAGAGAGAGAGATAGAGATACAGTGGAAGGAGGGGGGTGTGAATTACGGGAAAAATACAGGGCTCCACAAATTATCTTTGCCCTATCAACATGTTACATTACAATATGCTCCAAGTCGGTGATTAATCTCTTGGCAAAAAACTATTGTCATAAACAGGATGCATTTTAGCGAATGACTCAGTTCTCACAGGCTCTCCTGAAATGTGATGCATCTGTTAGCTATCTTGTAAAACATGACACCCAAAAACTAAAACTTCAAAAACATGTGTTTTGCTTGAAATTCAATCCAGGGTAAATTATTGATCCTTCTTGCATTGCTGCCTCCTCTATTTAAAGCAGCAATGTGCTGATACCACAGAAGAATGGATCGAGTGCGAAGGTTTTATCGTTGTCACCCGTGGGTAAAATCTGAGAGTGCTAGTGCGCATGCGTGAGCAAAATCGAGAGGGAGAGAAAGAGAGAGGCTAGAAAACACACGAATAAGAGAGAGGATAAAAGCTTTCTTTGTTTCTCGAACATTTAAATATTTCATGAATTCTTGTTTGATGTAGTTTTAAATATTCATGTTTTTATGCTTGAAGAGGTTAATTATGCAAAGAAGAAGTTATTCACACTGGTACAGTATAGCCTACTGTGCTACACACTGCGGGGATCCTAAATTCTCCACACACATGCTCATGCAGTCGCATACACTCCCTTTTCTCTAACAACACACATACTATAATACATTGGGCGCTTTTCTTTCAGCGGCAGCGCTGTGGTTCACAATAAGACCCAAAGTCCGAGCAGCTAAACAGAAAGTTGACAAGATTAAGATTGGGAGTTTGGCACAGGACCAGCTGTTAGATGCTCCTTTCCTGTTAGCAGATTAATGTCTCCACATTATGTCCTTGCCTCCTTCTTAGGCTCCTCTTCAGTACCCTGTAGCCCCAGGGGTGTCCTCAACCCCCGGGGGCAAGTCTGCTGTTTGCACTTGTCTATCCTTGTTCTAGTTCTGGGGCTAACAGGCTTAGTGGAAGAATTAATTGAAAATAGAATAGCTGTGCTAAATGGATATAAACAACAGGAGTATGGTTTGGCATATGGCAAGGTAGATATACTGTTGGGCTATGTGCACACTCAAGATCCTGCCTGATACACAATCGAGTGTATTGAAAAGGTTTATTTTTTAACCGTTTAAAATAAAAAAAGAATAAATGCTGACAAAAATGAAAGGTCTTCCACAGATGTTGTGTCAACCGGTTGTTTTATATATCCAAGAGCCTATACATGTTTCCTACAGCTAAGCACATTTCCCTAAGTTGCACCATGCGATGTGCAAAGTGCTTCCAAGTCAAAACGCATACTAATCTATTTGTTTACCCTATCCTGAATCTGTCATTTCTAGCAAGAAGTTAAATTGCCATGGTCATTTATAAAATAATTTGTATTAAGGGCACTGTAACCCGCCCATGTAGTCTGTGCCTTTACAGAAAGGTGGATCTGTTTCCTGCCACACTTTAAGAGTTGTACCATTTTAAACAAACAATCTCAAACGATTAATTCTCTCTAAACAAACAGCATAACTCCTTGCCCACATTTCAGGCTGCCTGTCGTTGAACTGTCTGCTCCAGCTGTGCTCCAGTAGCCCAAGGACTTGTAAGGCTTGCTGTGTCCTGATCGGTGATCAACAATAATAGAGATACTCTCAAATGTGGAAATCAATAGAAGCCGCATAAACTCCGTTGAGATCGAGCCACACCCTTCGCTGCTGTGGTATGATAGGGTACGCCTGCTGCAGATGGTTTCTGATCACCCACAGAGCAGTTGGTGCCAATGCGACAACTCTCAACAGAAACCCCGCTGCCGACATAATGGAACCCAAATCAGACCATCAAATAGGGACAGCGGGCTGCAAACACTCTGCACACACACACAGACACAAATACAAACTGAAGAAAAATACATCAATAACCCTTCAAGAAAACCACCCATCCATCTCAAACAAAGCTGTATGACTTGAAATCAGCTTTCCACACAGGCAAGAACGCCGGGATCAGATTAACACTAATGGTGTGACAGGAACAAAGGGATTGCTGCCTTTCTTCCTCTGTTTCTTAGCTCTTTAACTATAGGTGCCGTTGTCGTGGTTTCCAATGTGACCCAGAAATGTCATGTGGCGGCCAGGGTTTCAGACGTGTGCCTCCGCCATCCCTTGCAAATCTCTGCCTCTGCACTTTCAAGGTGACACAGTCGATTCGCAGGGTACACAAAATGTCAACTGCTTAATTTAATATCCAAGGATAACTGTCGGCCATGACAAATTAGCTAGAAACACCTAGGAAAAAAAAGTGAAATGGAATGATTGCTGCTTTGGGCCTTCGGCCCTTCAACTTGACAAGCTGAACGCCACACTATAAAAGTATGTTTCTCAAGCCAAGGCAGTGAGTTGCTACCCATCTTCTGTTGCCTCTCTGAAGGTAGATATCTCTTTCCCCCAGGACAGAAAAGGTCTGAGGTCGGTCCTCACAGAGGCTGCGGTGGGGGCATCACACCCCTCGCCTCGGGCCAGACATACACCTCTGGCCCCGGGGTCACTGGGATAGAATCATGACACAGCTGCCTGTCTATTACCTTCTCCCCAATC